AACTGGAAAACAACTAACAACATGGCTATCCTAAGTCCTTACCTATCAATAATTACCTGGAATGTAAATACATTATATTTCCCAATAAAAATACACAGAATGACTAAATGAGGAAAAACAAAACAAAGCAAAGCCCTACCTAATTCCAAACTACACTACAAAACTATAGTAATTAAAACAGCATGGTATTGGCAAAAAATAGGCACACTGACCAATGGAACAGAATAGAGAATGGAAGAGCAATGAATTCATACATATACAGTCAAGTGATTTATGACAAAGAAGTCAAGAATATGCAATGGGAAAATGACAGTCTCTTAAATAAATAGTGTTGAAAAAACTGAATTTCCACATGTAGAAGAAAAAATTGTACTCGAATCTCATGCTATAAAGAACGATAACTCAAAATGGGTTAAAGACTTAAATGTAAGACCACAAACTGTAAAACTACTAGAAGAAAACAGGGGAAAACTACATGACTTGGGTCTGGGCAATGATTCTTTCGATTTGGCCTCAAAAGCACAGACAACAAAAGCAAAACTAGACAAATGGGATTACATCAAACTAAAAGGCATCTGTATAGCAAAGGAAACAGTTACCAGTGTGCCTTATGGATTGGGAGAATATACTTACAAGCCATACATTCAATAAGAGGTTAATATCCAAAACATATAAGGACAAACAACCCAATAGAAAGAAAAAAAAATCCAATTAAAAAATTGGAAGTCCACTTCCACAAAGAGTATGTGAGTACACAAATAAAAGTTGCATGTAAAATGTTTTTTGATCATCTGTTTTCTTTATGATTCAAACCCAACTGTTGTGTAAAATGGTATTGTATTAGTCCATTCTCATGCTGCTATAAAGAACTGCCTGAGACTGGGTAATTTATAAAGTAAAGAGGTTTAATTGACTCACACTTCTGCATAGCTGGGGAGTCCTCAGGAAACCTACAATCATGGTAGAAGGGGAAGCAAACATGCCCTTCTTCACGTGATGGCAGGAGAAAGAAGTGCTGAGCAAAGGGGGAAGCCCCTTATAAAAAACCATCAGATCTTGTAAGAACTCACTCATTATCATGAGAACAGCACAGGAAAAAATGCCCCCATAATTCAATTATCTCCACCTGGTCCCACCCTTGACATATGGGGATTATTACAATTCAAGGTGAGATTGGGTGGGGACACAGAGCCAAACCATATCAGGTATATTAGGTCACATCTAGATGTCAAATAATGTTGCTTTCAAGGAATTTATAACTTGAGGAGTGAAGTCATAAACCAGAGAAGTTTAATTAATTATACAGGGCAATATGCGGTAGGTAGTAAATGGTTTGGAATCTCAATGAATTAATTCAGAAAAGTAGAGATTACTGATCATTTGCTTATTGTAGAGTTGTAAGAAGGTTTGACCCTATATATAAGATTTAGTGCTACTACATAGCTTTAAGCTACAGATTCAAATTTCAAGAATTTTTATTTACTGCTTTAAACTATAGAAATCCTATACTATCAACAGGTGATAGTAGGAATACCAGTCACCAAATCTGAAATGTAAAGCATAGGTTACACTGGACATTCACTATAGTACCACATATTTTTCACCATATTTTTTTTTTTTTTTTTTTTTAGACGGAGTCTCCCTCTACCACCCAGGCTGGAGTGCAGTGGTGCAATCTCGGCTCACTGCAAGCTCCGCCTCCCGGTTTCACATCATTCTCCTGCCTCAGTCTCCTGAGTAGCTGGGATTACAGGTGCCCACCACCACGCCCAGCTAATTTTTTGTATTTTTAGTAGAGACTGGGTTTTACCATGTTAGCCAGATTGGTCTTGATCTCCTGACCTTGTGATCCACCCACCTCCGCCTCCCTAAGTGCTGGGATTACAGGCGAGAGCCACCGCGCCCGGCCTTCACCACCATTTTTAAAGGTAAAAACTAAACATAATAACATTTCATGGAATCAATTATTTTTAATAAAACATCACTGATAATGTAATCATTGCTTAAGGTTCCTGTTAATATCTTTCTCAACAATCTTTTACTATTACTTCAAGGAACAATGTTAGTTTCTATCAGTATCAGTTTCTATCATACTATACATAAATATTAAGAGCCATCTATTAGTTAGAAATTATCTTTATCTTTCTAATTTGTTTCACCCTGAATTCAATTATAAACTAAATAGCCATGTCATTTCCAGCAAACCCACTGTCAAAAACCCTTAAAGGTTTGCTGGTCTGCTAGCTTTGAGTACTTCAATGTACCCAAAAGTAAAAACTCTGATAACTATTTTGTGGACTATTTCAGAAATAAACTAACACATGTTTAAATTTGACTTCCCTTTTTCTTTTCTCTGTATTAGTAGTCAAAGTAATAATGGTTAACATTTATTGGAGACATGCTGTATATCATCAATATTATCGCATTTAGTCCTCATAATAACACTGAGTTTGGTGCTGCTATCACGTCTCCTGTGTTACAGATAAGGAAATGCAAATATTGAGAGGCTAAATAACCCGCTTAGGGGCACACAGCTCATAAGTTGAAGATCCAGGATTTATAACCTAGCCAGCCTAACTCTAGAGTCGAAGCGTTTGTTGTGGTAGTTTCTTCTTAGTTCAGTTGAAAACGGGGTCCTCGTCATATGACCCTGAAATATTAGGCTCACAGACATTTGACGGGTGAGAAAAATGGAATTTATTGGGCGCAAAGGAAAAAAGGGGGAAATAGGGACTCTCAGCAGAGCGAATCTCTTGATACTATATGCTTCCTGCCTCTCAGATTGAATCCCAGGTACTACCCAGGAAGAGGAGGGGGTAGGCTCCAACCCCTGCAAACAGGGCTAACTTCCTGAGGCTCCACGCCAGGGTGCACTCCTCCCAGTGCGCAGGCGGGTCAGAGGCTCTCCGCGGTCCCCTTTATACTTGGCTGTCTCACTTTCACCACTACATGATATCAGACCGGACTGAAAATATTAACTTGAGAGAGATTGCTCTTCTCCAGAAATAAAGTGTTTTGCTTTATAAGGCTAACAGCACTTCTCTGCTACTTTACTCCATAGACTAATCTACAAACATAAGATAACAGCATTTGGATATCATAGTGCCATTCCTAGTAATATCCTAGCATCAGTTTGGCCAACAGAAAAGATGAATACTAATTTGTTAGATTTTCAGCCCTCCTATTTTCCGCCTCACTTCCCTGCAATCCAATATAATTAATATTAATGAAGGGGAAGGCTAAGAATTGTACATGCAGAAAAGAATGAAAGGTTAGTTGGGAAGGAAGAGAAAGGTAAGTAGCCATTGGAGTGTGTATTTGGGACAGAGTTTATTTGTGTATTTATTTTTAACTTTGGATAGAGGAAGAAGAGAGACACAGAAGGATATCTATAAGAGCAGAGAATTCTAGAATCTTTCAGTCTATGATATATTACAGGATATAAGGAATCATATAGCTCACCTCAACTATTTTATTTTGATAGACTTCATTAGACATTTAGCTTGCTCTGTTACACACACACACACACACTGAACTAGTGCTGGTATTTCTTCTGAAGGTTTCTTCAAGCAGAACATGGACATCTTCATCTCCACTTAACTTCTGTTATTTTTTTTTCCCTCCCACTTAACTTCTGTAGTTAAGCATGGAGTTAGTTCTACAGCAATGTTTTGTGAAACAACCTATACTTCTTAAATAAGAAAAACATACTAAAACTTTATTCAAGTTTTGGAGTGATCCCTTCAATCTAATTTCCCAACAAGCACTGTAACTTACATTTTTTCTTCTTCACAAACTTTCTGCAATATTTGATAACTCTCTTAAGAGCACACACTACCTGTCTAAAAGTCATAACTTTTTCATTTTCACTAGAAGAGAAATTAAGTGAAAAGTGACTAATGAGAGAAGATCACCTAGAGACATAAAGATTACTATAAATGCTAGAAAATATTATACTTTTGTTCAAATTACTCCTTCGATAGCCATGTTGTGTTCAATAATTTTTCTTTAGCTTCGATCCCTGGCCAAAACATTCTTTTTAAGCCCCTTGCATATTTATTTTCATCTGTCCTTGACAATTTTGATTCTCCAGTTTTGTTTCCCCTCTCCATATTCTCTCAGACTATCAGGCCTCTCCTACAATCTCTGTTGTCTTTATTTACCCCCAAATCTATATCTGATTATCTAAATGACTTTCAGATTACCTTCAGTTTCCTTGCATTCATCTTCGTCTTCCGCCCTCTGCATTAATGCTAAAATATGCCATCTGTACTTATATACCCTGGACTCTGAGCACAGTGCAGAAAACCACCAAACAAACCAAACTATGGTCATCTTTAGTACACAATTTCAAATCTCAGATGGCTCCTCTGTACCAATAGTTAATGTTTTTATTTGTCCTTGGTCAATTACCTCTTCCATTCCTATCAATGATTATTCAAGATTCCAATCAATCTCTTTTCTTAAGTTCTTTGATCAATTCCCACAATCATCTTTCTCAGAAGAAATCCTTGATTCCAACTCTTTTGATACTATTGGAGCCTTCAGATATGATCCATATTGACTTCCAGGCTCCACATACAGAAATCTGTCTATGTATAAACCCAAGGTTTTTTCCTTCTCTCTAGTAGCTGAGGATTTAATCTCTCATGCTTTAAACAATCCCCAAATCTTTGCTCTCCTGATTCCTCCTGATTCCAAGATTCCTTGCTCTTAGTTGTCTTACCTTACCTCTTACCTCTGTATTTTCAACTTCCCTCTCTCTATCTTAATTTGCTCTAACCTCTGAGTCCATAAATACGCTCAAGTCTTCCCCATTATAAACAAACTTCCCTTTAATGCAATATCTCCTTCTAAGAAACATCTCATCTTTCTCCTTCCTTTCTTATCCAGCTTCTCAAAAGATTAGTTTCTATTTCTATTTTTTCATCTGTGTAATTATTCCTCACACATAGGCATAAGGATTCCTCCCCATTACAACTCTGGAAAAAATCACTTACCAAGATACCGGTGACTTTCTTATCACCAAGTAATAGGCAGACACTATTATTTCTCCTTCTGGACTTTTCTGCTGCAATTAAAACTGATAATTGTTCTGTCCAGCTTTCTAGAAACAAACAGAAACACATAAAACTTTAATACTTAGTAGGCTTCATTGACACTTTATTTTCCAGCTTAAATTTTCTTATAACTTCTAGCCAATCCCATTCTGTCTTCTTATTGAGCTTTCCTCTTCTGACCATCTAAAACTACTTCCAAAGACCATGTTGTTGGGCTACTGATCTCAGTCCATACACTTTTACTGGGACACCTCAGCTCACTCATTATTTTAAATACTGACTATATATATATACACAATGTCTGAATTGATATTTCTGATTAGAAATCTCCTTTGAGTTTTGGCCTTGTATATACCAGTGCCTGCCAGATAACTCCATTTGGATGACCTAAATAAAGGCTTCTTTAAAATTAAAATGTCTCAACTTCAGCCTATCGTCTTCCTCTCTAAACCTACTTTTCTAGAGTCTTTTTTACAAGTTAGGGCTCTCCCATCTACTTTGTTACCTACAGTATATTTATTTTTACTTACCACCTGAATTTTAAGTTTTCCAATTCAATAAATATCCTGCTGACTTGACCACAAAATGCATTTATCAGATCTATCTAGTCTTATTCTTTCTTACTAGAACTTTCCGAATTCTGGATAGACAGTATCTTTAAAATGGATTATTACAACAGCATCCTAATTAGTTTCAAGCTAACCCCCTCAAATTCATTCTCCACATGTCTATAGCTGCTTATAATACTTCTATGTCTCCTCTTTGTTCATAAGAAGAAGACCAACATCCCAAACATGACATCCCAGACCCTCTGGAATCTGGCTTCTCCCCATCAATCTAGTAACTCACTACCATTTTTGATCCTCCACTTTATGCTTTAGCAATATCAGTGAAATGCCCTACATATCATCTGTTTTAAGCCCGTCTATCTTTAAGTCCCTCAGCCTTTATTCCTGATCTCAAATGCCTACCTACCTGTATCTGACCAATTTCTGCTCATTAATTAAGAAATTTCCCCCAGAAAGATTGCCCTCTTCAATTCCCCATCATTCTGAATCCAGCTTAAAGCCCTTTCATAACCACTCACTCACTGTATTTTGTTTGCTGTGCCTATCTTCTCACTGGACCATGCCTTTTTTGAGAGCAAGGACCATAGCTTTCATCACTGAGCATGATGCATGATAGACTCTCAAAATATATACATTTTTAAAAAATGAATGAGTAAATGAGTTCTGCAAAGAACAATTTTGATGTACCAAAGTTAACCTAAAAACTTCTCTATGAATATCCTTCTCTAAACCCAGCTACTACTATGCATTTTTGAGACAGATATCATTATTTGACTTTCTCTTACTAATGATCATCAAAGTTAATTTTAATAAATTAATGTTGATCTTTTATGAGTTCTTCTAGGAAAGCCCCTTTTCATAACATCCGGCAATATAAAATCAATGATCAAATTCTCTTTTAAGTGAAAGAATGTCTGACAAGAATACACAAGTAATCTAAACATTTATTACTAGCCCATTGTAGCTTCTTTCTGCATGTAACTTCTTACCCAAGATAGAACTTCTAATTCTTATTTTTCATTTAAAATTTTCTCTGCCTAGTGGTTTGATGACATATGGATGATTATATAGAGAATAAAGGGAGGAAAAAAATCAGAAACATTGAAAACAAGTTATAAGTAATATCTTTGAGGAGTTTATATATTAGATGCAAAGTAGAAGGATGCACTGATACAAGAGCTAATGTGGGGAAAAACTGAACCATTCATTTCAGTGACAAAACTTTGGGTATTTCTCATTCTGTAAAACAAAGGTCCATCAGCCAAAAAGTTCCTTTATGAAGCAAATAATGGTTGATAGGAACAGAGTCAGACTTTAAAGACAAATTATGTTTGGAAGCAGCCTAAGAGTCCATAAACAGATGAATGGATAAAGAAAATGTGGTACATATATACAATGGAGTACTATTCAGTCATAAAAAAGAATGAGATCCAGTCATTTGCAACAACATGGATGGAACTAGAGATCATTATGTTATGTGAAAGAAGTCAGGCACAGAAAGAGAAACATGACATGTTCTCAATTATGTTGGGGAGCTAAAAATCAAAACAATTGAACTCATGGATATAAAATAGAAGGATGGTTACCAGAAGCTGGAAAGTGTAGTGGGCAAGGTTTGGGGAGGGAGGTGGGGATGGTTAATGGGTACAAAAATATCATTAGAAAGAATGAATAAGCCATACTATTTGATAGCACAATAGGGTGACTATAGTGAATAATAACCTAACTGTACATTTTAAAATAACTTAAAGAGTATAATTGAATTGTTTGTAACTCAAAGGATACATGCTTGAGGGGATGGATACCCCATTTTCTGTGATGTGCTTCACATTGCATGCCTGTATCAAAATATCCCGTGTACCCCATAAATATATACACCTCACTATGTTACCACAAAAATTAAAAAGAAAAATAAAGGTAGAATATTACATATGAAAACAAGATAAATTATGTACGTTGTTTGAGTGATATTGTTAACAGATTAAAAAATCAACAAAGGCTGGGCGTGGTGGCTCATGCCTATAATCCCAGCACTTTGGGAGGCTGAGGCGGGAGGACAAAGAGGTCAGGAGTTCGAGACCAGCCTGGCCAACACAGTGAAATCCCATCTCTACTAAAAATACAAAAATTAGCTGGGCATGGTGGCGGGTGCCTGTAATCCCAGCTACTTGAGAGGCTAAGGCAGGAGAATAGCTTGAACCCGGGAGGTGGGGGTTACAGTGAGCCGAGATCGTGCCACTCCAGCCTGGGCAACAGAACTAGCCTCCTTCTCAAGAAAGAAAGAAAAAAAAAAATCAACAAAAATCTATTACCTAAATTTAGTAGCTGACGTGAGTCTATCTAAACTTTCAATTCCAGTTTCACGCATTGCAAGACTGTCTCTAGTATCAATGGCAGCAGCACCATTCATTACCAACAGACTTATAATATTTTAAATAATTAAAATGTTGCATTGCATAAAAAATAGAAATTACCTTTTGTATAACATATCTCCAAAAATGAGCTCTTAGATTACATTTTATTTATTGCTTTAAAATGGAAAAACATCTGAAAGTTAATCCATACATGTCAAAAGTTATAACATAAAAATTAAAAGAATGAATTAAATATTATCAGAGCTTTAATAATAAAAAAAAACCCAACTATAATTATTTGTCAGGATCCAGCCAGTTTCTATGCATTTTATGATACTATTTTTGTGAACATAATAGAATCTAAGAAGTGAGTTTTATGTAAGGAGTATTTTAAGACTCAGGATAATTGTTGCCAATGTAACCAGGTAACGTCTAAAACATTCTGGATCCTTATTCCAAGAGGGAAGAGCTGTAGGGTATTAGGGCATTTTAGAAACTCTCAGTGGCATTTAGAAACTCTCAGAAGGAAGTAGGGTGGTGACTTTTAGGTTTTAATGTTTCCAAAGGCTTTCAGAATGTCATGTGATAAGAGCTCAAACATTTTTGCAGCAGCCAGCTTTCCAGCAGCTTGCTTCTGCTTTTTAATGTTGACGTACATGAGACCTTAGTTGTTAAATGCCTCTCAATATTTACCAACCACAAACTTGCTTTCTATATTTTTCCTTCCAAGTGAATCCCAATATCTTTAGGATGCCTATTTAACTTCTCTGCTCCTTTGTCTTCTTTGATTAAGAGTCATTAATGAGCATTTGGCTTTTAATATGAAAAACGAGGTAAACAGAATTACCAGGAGAGGTCCTAATGGTACAATCAAGTCAGAGTAATGGACAGAGTTTCCTGGTGGATTTTTAAAGGCATATAAGCAAATAACAGTTTACTCGAGGGATAAATTTAACATTTTCTAAAAGTTTACTCTGAATATTGGTTATGTTTAAAAGTTTACACTTTCTTTCCTGCATTTTTGCCAGTTAAAAAACAAATATGCCTTTGTTTAATCTTAATATGATTAGGATAAAACAATATTAAATAATTTTTAAAACATGATAGTTTAAGAAACACAAATGCAGGAGTTATACTTTCATGATCATTATTATAAGCTGGAGCAAATCATTGTACCATGACCTGATTTTAGTAGTTTTTAACATGACAAAATTTAGTCTTTTACTGAATCATTTTGTAGAATTAAAATCTCTCTGAAAAACACTGTCATGCCTTTAGATTGGACAGCAGAAAATAAAATGTGTCTCAACAAGTACTCCTGACCTTTTAAGGCTTCAGGAAGTACGTGGAGGTAAGCACTTTCCTGAGGTGTCATCGTCTCTGAGGACAGAAAAGGGATCCAGCTGCCAAGTGACGTTCTAATTCTCATGGTTGGGCCTGTTGTCTGGAAAAAGAGTCATGCTTCATTTAGTAATTCCAGTGTTTCTTCCTCTTCCTGTAAAGAAGGGTGTGGGAGCAGGGAATATTCATTCACAAAAAATGGAATAGAAATATGTATCCCGTGGGAAGGAGCCATTTATAGAACTGTCTAAAAATATGTATTTGGGCAGGTCAGATGATATTTTGCAATATTACTGTCATGACCATTCAGTTTGTACACTGGCTTTGAATATGTGTTCATTTCTGAAACAGGAGTCATTTTGAAGTACTAGGAAAATGGGGTTGCCAAAGAGATAAACTGTTATATGGCTAATTTCTTTGTATCTGGTTCAAACCAGTTCCCCCAAGCAGAACTTATGGATATCTGAGAAATTAAAAAAGTAATAGTCTATTTAGGATTCCTTACCAATGACATTATCCTTATAATACAGTATTACAAGTTATAGTCTTTTTAAATTTAGTACATACTTTTATGACTTATTAAATAGGTCATAAAAGTAACTGGACAAAGGAAAACGAAGATATTGCAGGAGAAATCCAGGGCACAGAGCTCATTCAGCACAGCTGACTAGAAAACTGATCATTCTTGGACTTTGATTGCTGATTTGGGGCATGGAGAGGTTTTCATCACCATTATAGGGGCTGTCTGAGAATGGGCACAGGTTGGAGTGTAAGAAACAGACT